AACCGGCTAAGCAAATTGAAACTTGGAAACGCTCGACGAACCCTCACAGGTAAAATTTCTTTGCTTTTTATGTCAATTAAATGTCAGTTTAATGATTGTAAATGTTAAATTTACAAATGAAAAACTACTGAATCGGTCGATGAATAGCAGATGGAAAACGAGACATTGAAGAATATGATTGTATGTATTCTGTGCCTTGGGTTTGAAACCATTCCGACTATGATATCAATTCAGTTTCGAAGTATTTTTCTGAGGGTGTATAATATTTTATTAATTTTTTCGCTCACAGGATAAAATAGTGGCCGCAAAGGTGAAGAAGAGCAGGCCAGAAATTGTTGCCAAACAAAGCCGGCAAAAAAAAGTTTAACAGAAAGATAAACGGTATTTCATATTAAACTTGTTCACCTTGATTCGCATATTGGTTCATTTGAACATACTGCTCTTCTTTTCAAACGTGTTAATTTGGTATTTAAACATGTCCATTTTAATATTAAGCATGTTCATATCATACTGAAACATTGTTATACATTAAAGAACTGATCATTCTCATGTTTTGGAAATGTTTGGAGAACATTTATGCTCAATTTGCATTTAAATAGGTGCTCATTATTCTTATTTTTTAGAAGTTCAAAGACCATGTCATATAGAATGTAGACATGTTCATTTTATATTTGTACATGTTCATTCTAGGATAAAGCATGTTCATATCATACTGTGACATTTGCATGTTATTAATTTTGTAGAAAAAGGAAAACTGAACTTGTGGAAGAACAAAAAAAAGGAAAGAAGGCAAAAAGTGCAACACCATTGAATGAAGAAGGAGGATTCTTAAATAGAGTTTCTTCTCATGCTTTGTGCAAATTCTTCGATGATTTGGATGACCAACAAAAGGAGGAGGTAAAGAGTATTGGTTTTGGACATCTTTTGGACATAAAGATTAAGCAGATATCGCAAGTAAATCTGTGTTATTTTTTGGTCAAAAATTACAGGTAATTTGTGCAATTTGATTTTCATTACAATGCACAACATGTTCATTTCATTATATAACATGTTCATTGTATTATTAAACATGTACATCACATCATATCACATGGTAATGTTATCGTTGAACAGGTATGCCAGTAACACTCTGATTCTGCCCGGTAATAGAGAGATGAACATAACTGCAGCAGATGTTGAGTCTGTGTTGGGCCTACCAAGAGGAAGTAAGGAGGTAATCGAAGGAGAATGGTATGATAAGGATGAAGAATATAATCACATCCTTGGGGATTTTAGGGACACCTTTGGTTTAAAGAAAACAGCTGGTGCTCCAACAGCCAAAAAATTGGTCCAATATGTAACTGGAAATTACACAGAGAGAAGGCATACTACACGGGTTTACGGAGATGAATTCAAGAGAATTTTTGTGATAGCCGTGGTGTCACTCTTTCTGTGGAGAAATAGGGGCCAAGAATGCAGGTTTAGATTGCTTAAATCATTGATAAAACCAGCAGAGATCATAAATTACAATTGGTGTCAGTATGTTTTGCAAGGTCTTTCAGAATCTGTGAGGCTATGGGATTTATCTGGTGGAGAAGGCCATTTTAATGGTCCACTCACTTTCTTGGTGGTAAGGTTTGCATATATTTAAATAAATCAATTTGATTGATGGATATTTACATTTCTTTTGAACCTTTGTTGCAGTTGTGCTACCTGGATAGGGTGCAGTATATGAACAAGACATATGTGCCCAGGAAATTCCATGTCATAGCTAATTGGACAATGCAAGCAATTTCCAAAAGGGTCAGCGAAGAACAACTTGGACAGGGGTTTGGGATGGGGGTCATACTTGATCCCATTACACCACCAAGAGAAGTAGTACATCGACCATCGATAAAAGAAGTGGACGAGGTATATTCATCATATAATGTTCATCTCATAATATAACATGTTGATCTTAATTCGGAAACATGTTCTAGATGTTCATATCATCTAATTATGCAACCTATGCATTTCATTATCCAACATGTTCTTATCATAATGCATCATGTTCATATAGTACTATCACATCTTAATCTCGTACAAAATTGATCAGGCACTGAAGTTTGTAATTTTCTAAAAATGAAAACGTAATTCAGGAAGAAGATCTACTCGAAAGGTTTGGAAATATAATGAACAAAATGGGACCAATGGTAACTGAACTTGGAGAGGTGGTTGAAAGAGCAAAACGCTCAAATATGAGTGCTGTCAGCATGTTTCAGAAAAAAATTGAAGGATATGCAGCAACTCTAATGAAAATGGCAGAAACTGCAGTGGAAGACAATGAGGAAGAGGAACGCGAAGCTGCTGAATTTGATGATGATGGGGTGCAATTGGACAATGAACCAACATCATTGGATATTCAGCCGATTGTTGTATACACAGGAGAGGAGGATGAAACGGGCATTGCTGGAGAGGATCATGATGCCGGTAACAGATTCATTTGTTTCTTAAACATGATCATCTCCTAATGTAACATGTTTATTTCATCATCTTAAAAATGTTTATCTCATTGTATGAGATATTCTTGTGGGTCTGAAATATATTAATTATATTTGTGAAGGAATTAAAACGATTTTGAAAGATATTCAGAATTTACTTGGGGAGGATGATGAGGCACATGGAGAGATGGAAAATGAAGGGGAAGGTGTAGGAAAGGAAGTGGATAATGTTTCTGAAAATAAGGAACAAGCGGGAGAAGCTGTTGAATTTCATAATGATGTGCAAGTGCAACAAACTGAACAAACTACATTTGATATGCAGCCGATTGTTGTATATACAAAAGAGGAGGATGAAACGGGCATTGCTGGAGAGGAACATGATACCGGTAACCGATTCATTAATTTCTTAAACATGATCATCTCCTAATTTAACATGTTCATTTGATCATCTTAAAAATGTTCATCTCATTTTATGACATATTAATTTGGGTCTAAAATATATTCATTCAATTTGTGAAGGAATGCAATTGATTGTCAAAAATATTCATAATGTAATTGAGGAGGATGATGAGGCAGATGTAGATAAGGTAAAGGAAGGGGAAACTGCAGTAAGGGAAGGAAAGAATGGTACTGAAAATAAGGAAAAAGAAGGAGAAGCTCCATTGAAAGAACTAGAGAGATGTGAGAAGACAGCTGAAGGGGAAGCTGTAGGAAGGAAGTGGATAATGTTACTGAAAATAATGAACAAGAGGGATAAGCTGCTGAATTTCATGATGATGTGGTGCAACAAAC